AATTTCGTTTAATTTAGTATAAGAAAACGAAAGAGTTCTAGTTTGTCTTTTAATTCTCTTCTAATTATTCGAGTGAAATAATCATATCGCAAAATGATCTATAAGAATATTTTGTGGGGACCAAGAACTAGGCAGCAAAATGCGACAAAGATCCTCAACCCTATCCAATGCTACACTCTATGTATTGCATTGTCAGTGGAATCTGATTATTATTACATAATTGTAAGCTTGTAGTGATGTCCATTTTTATATATCTACACTCACAACTTTATATATGAAAAAGGCAAAATATAAAAAAATATTGGGAGAATTATTGAGGTTTGTCACTTGAGTTTTTAGATCCCCTGATATTTAAAATATTACACACAAATCCCCTGAGATTTGTATGCATGTAACACTTAGACTTCTACCGTTAATATCTGTTAGAATATGCATTAATAAATTATACTCAGACTCCCTCAAGTTTATAGACGTATAATACTTGGACTCTTTAAGTTTAAAATGTTATATTTTGACCAAAAATAATCTAATCAAATATAAAATATCAAAAATTTTAAATTTTATAACCAAAATTTATGTTCTATTATGTCATTTATCAAAAAAAATAAAAATCTAATTTTTTCTTTAAAAAATCATAATTAGTATATAATTATACTATCTATTAAATAACCAAACTACCCTTATTAAAGATAAAAGATATTGCGTCAATTACAATTTGACCCCTTGTTTATTTTTTTAGTTTTATTCCAATAGATAATATAATTGTATACTAATTATAATTTTTTTAAGCAAAAATTAAATTTTTATTTTTAATTTTATATCAATAAATGATATAATAAAAAATGAATTTTTTTTGTAAAATTTTAAATATTTAATATTTGTACAAATTTTAAAAGGTCTGTATATAATATTTTAAATGTCAAAAGATCTAAGTAATTAAATAACAAATTTCAGAGAGTCTGAATGTAATTCTCCTAAAATTATTAATCTATTGCCATCCAAACAAGACTTCTAGACAGTCTGAAGCAGTGAATCAGTCATCATGAACCACGGTTAAAACAACGTGGGTGATATAGCATTGAGAAAAATTGAAAATTTTGTACCGGATTAGGTTTAGTTGGTTGAAGTTAGTGGTATCTTGAATTAGACGGCCCGCTAATACTCATAACCTCGGCCTACCATGGCATTCAGCATCCAACAAATAGTTATATATCAACATGCATAATGTGAAAGACGTAGAAGAACTTCATTTGTAGAATAGGATTTGAGGTGAGCAGTTGCTTTGGACAATGACTGTTCTACCAGAATCAAAGATGGAGTGAAATTATCATATTTGAATTTAATCTTACTAAACACGACATGAAATTGCTTAGCATGACTAATACATTGTTTATGCACAACATGAACTTAATACAATATGAAACCAAGTATACAAAACTATAAATGACTTGAGTATGAGTTAATCAAATTTTAACACAATATAATATGACTTAGACATGACACGATTCTGAGGTGCGACCCATTGAAAGTCCGGAGTTGGACACCCTTACGATGATATCAAACCTAAGGTTGAAACTTTTTCTATTTCTGATTTTTTGGGGAAAGCGAATCGAAAAGGGTCATAGAACTTGCATAAGTGGCATGCCAAGCTGGTCCAAATTAGAGATGGTGGCATTCGTATGGGTTAGTTTTTGTGCCAAAGCCCCCGCAGAGAGTGGACAGTGGGTTAGCACCTTTAGAAGCTCAGGTGGGTTTTAAAAATGGATGGCTTCTAAGCACATTAGTAAACAGGTGACCTCACATGTGTTTGTCAATACCACCTTCCATTAAACAAAAACTTTCTGGCCCTGCTATCCAAATCCAGTGTGTAAGTGGGAATGCCTAGGGTGTCAATTTGTGTCGTATCACGTAATTTATATGTCAATTTTTTTTATGTCATGTTTGTATTAAGATTTACGGAAAAAAAAATCTATTTAATGTATTTTAAATGTCAAACATTAATTTAGATCATTTATTATGCATATTTAACAATTGCGTCGTGTTGGGTTCGTCCCGACCGATTAGAGTTGACACTCTTAGCGACATCTATTCTCTTTGTCGAGTCATTTTTCTATAACGAGATTTGTCTCAATCATGTATGGTTTAAATTCAAAGTTGTTATTTGAACTTGAAATGTGTATACGCAATGATTTACCAACAACCCACTTCAAGTTATTCATTCTAAAGAAGTTTCTTGCAAACTCAACTTTAAAATATCGAAATATTAAAATCATTCCATCTCGACGACCCTGATCCTGATGCAAGAACCATATCCTTTATCCTTGGGTCGTATCTGCCACTGTAACACAGTATATGTGGGAGCACTCTCTCTCTCTCTCTCTCTCTCTCTCTCTCTGTACACATAGACGAATATATATATGTGTGTATATATCTATAGAGGAATGTTTCCCACAGAAACATATATGTTGTAGTCAAACTGTTTAAGGGACATTTGTGTCGGATAAATAATTGCCCACTAGCAAACCTTTACGATGGTGAACAACTCAAAGTGCTCATGCTGTGGAGCAGAATCACATCCACAGCTACAACGACAGTTGGAAAAGCTTGATTATGCAAGCGCATTAGCGATGGTTAAAAGCAGCACCAAGAAAAGGAAAACCTATACAGACGTATGTAAGCAGACGCTGGCTATGATACGGAAAAATAATGGCTCTAATGTAAAACTCTCTTATATTTTTATTTTATTTTATTGTTTTAATGACCAATGCCTACAAATGAATCAATCAGAGAGAGGGTTGCATCTTACAAGTTAATTTTTGGTATAGGATTGAATTTTTTTCGATAGTAACTTATATATTGTTGATGGACTTCACTCATTACTTATGGACTTACACTTTTAGGTGGGTATGAATTCGAGATATGTATATTGAATCTTTGATCATTAAACTTCCTAGTTTTCCAACAAAAGATTTCAGAGCCGATTGTTGATGATTCTAGGTGAACTTTTGAACATATGATTCGTGGAAGAATTGATCCTTGCAAAAGAGTGGTTAAACACGGTACTTGTGGAGAGTTGTGGATTAAAAAATGATGGACCCATCGCTCATACATGATGGATAATTCGTAAAGAAGAAAATTAAAAAATATATAGAGGTGAAATCTGAATCCCACTATCAGCTAGTGTACATCCTGCTGCCCCATGACCATCTAACTTTTTTGCTTGGGTCTGGATCCATTATCTATCTGGCATCAAAACAAATACTTCTTGAAAGTGTGGCACAGCAAATCTACTGAAAGAGAGACCATAATTGGCCGACTGCACTGGCCTTAAATGGGCTAACTGACAGTTCAATGGGAAGTTCCAGCCCACTACTATATGGCAGGCTCTGGGTAGGCCATCAGTTTGACATTAGAGCTACTCTTATCTTTTTGATCAAGCACTATTATAGAGAGAGGGACGATGAAATTTGAATCTAAAACATTCACAAATCTCCAACTTTTGATGTGACGATCGAATGCATGTACCCTTGATCCAAAACTCAACAACAATGACGGTAATATGGACTCGATCAAGCATCAATTCCGCCCTATTCTAACTCACCGATCGACCAATCTTTTTGTCCATCAATACTCAAAACCCAACAACAGAAACACAAATTCAAATAATATTCTCTTAACGATTGTGGTGAGGATTAGTCAAAATTAAGGAGGAAATTCCACTTACTCCATGAAGAGGATTTGCTTCTCTTCAGCATATTTTGTGGCCCTACTTCATGACAATCTTGGAATTGATTTGGATGATGAAAGGTATGGCTTTGCCATCATTCATGACAGTCTTCCATCGAACGTTTTGATTGTGCTTCATTGTATTAGTTTGTGATTGATAAGGTTTTATGTCATGCCACAGTGTAAGATCAACAGTCGAGTATATGGAAGGATGCAATTAATGAGCAGTAAATAAGTAATTAATGACAAAACAGTAAATAAGAACAAACAAACAGATTTATAGTGGTTCGGTCCGGATGACCTACTTCACTCTCAAGAACGGCAGCGGTGGCCGGAGATCTTTATTGATGAATAAAAGTCACCGGGAGAGTGTACTCCGGAAGTATTTCAATGCTTTAGGAGAGAAAAGTAATATGTGTAGAAAAGTCTCAAAGGTGATGCCCTCTATATGAAGATGACTTACATTATATAGGTTTGGTGAGACGGTCACTACTTTTTAGTAAGTACAGTTATGGTAGGATTAGATCTTCATAGTACGTATCTTGATATTCTTTTCCTCATACTCCTATTTCTTCAGAGGAAGATCTTGAGCTAGATTGGATTGATAAGATGAGGAGGGTACCACTGAAGCAGTGTTTGAGGAAGAGAGGGTGTGGAGCAGAGAAGAAGCAGGGGTCCCCATGGGCGGCGCCAGAGGCCTAGGCGACCCTTTTTAGGCGGCCCCCCCTTGGGTGTCTCATTCAGGCGCTGGTGTCTTGATCTCCCTTTGGTACATTGGGCTTTGGACTCCTCTTGGTATATTGGGTTTGGGCTCCTCTAGATATATTAGGCCTAACTCAGTTAATTTTGAATCGATCAGTAATCATTATCAAACAAAATATAATCTACTAGATATTCTTAAGAGTTTTGATTCCTGTTGAATTATTGGGTTCGGATCTTTTGATGTTAGTTTTTTTAACGGTGATGTTATTTTTTAAAACGGTACCATTTCAAAATAGTATCCTTCTCAAGATTAACACCTTTCAATCTTTTTTAGGAACAACACCTCTGTTCAAATGACAAGGATCCAGTTTTGTAAAATATTCTAATAATATTCATTTTTTTACCTATTAAATTTATTTATTATAAAATAGTGACACGGGACGATAACAACATAGTGTTACTGTTGATGGATAACAACTGTTACGCGCCAAAGAAACGTCAATTGACAGCTCTGCCCCACTCATTTAATTCACGGCTTGAAGCCGTTGAACAACAATTACAAAAACGTCACCAATTACCAAACCGAAGCAAAGACGAAAACGCAGAGACGACAGAGTTCAAAGGACTAGGAGGGAGGGAGAGAGAGACGAATCGCCATTTCCCATTTCCTTTTTCCAGGTATTACACATTTCTCTCTTCTGTCGATTTCACCCCAGTTCTCTGATCCTCAGTTTTTCCCAAATTCTCGGTGGATTTCTGGAGTTTTCTAAATTCTAAATACACCAAGATGTTAATTTTATTCTCATTTTGGTTTTCTTTTCATGGGATAGTTTTCACAGGTAGTGTAATTGAAAAATGAATGATCATTTGATTGTGTGCGTTGATCGGCTGGAGAACCCAGATGTGACCGTACAAGGGGACCAAGTGACTGTGGCTTCTGCGTCCAGTGAAAAGCCCACGGATATGGTGGGACAGTCTTCTTCTGCGGTGGTGGTGGTGGTGGCGGTGGTGGCGGAGGAGGAGGGAAATGAGGGTTCGGATGAGGAAACGCCGCTTATAGGGGTGGCGGAGTGCCGCATTTGTCAGGAGGAGGATTCTGTCAAGAATTTGGAAAGTCCCTGTTCTTGTAGAGGCAGTCTTAAGGTAATTTTTTTTTTCGATTATATAATTATGTGGCAATTTTTGGGTGTAATTTGTTTGTTGATTGAGGCATTGTGTATGGGGTGTTGATGCTAAAAGGTGTGGTCTTGATGTTGCGTTTCCTTGGAAAGCAGGCATGAGTTTTTTCTTTGGGGCTTTTGGTTCAAGAACATCAAAATTAATATTGTCTGGAAGCGAAAATAAAAAATATTACATGCATATAACTATTTGAAATCAGTCTACGAAAGCTGGGTGGTAAATGGCTTTCTAATTGAATTGAAGCTCAGGTCAAAATATTTGTTAGAGATTTGTCAATTTGTCGGTTGTATATTTGTTGTCAAGGTCATGTGGGTGACTGAAAGTGATAATTACAAGGAAGATTTAGTGGAAATTGGGAGAGAATGCTCATATCATAGGACAGTTATTTGGAAAATTATGCTGTTTTTAAGGGGTTTCTTTTTTCTTTTTTTTTTTTGGGGGGGGGGTGTGTGTGCACTGAGATTCTTTCCTCAAGCCTATGCAGAATTGTTCTATGTTTTCTTCAGCATTGGGGACTATTGAACATTTGCCTTTAATTTCACCCAAATTGAAATTACTTCTTCAGAAACATATTCTCAAAAAGAATGCATTCAGCTGGGGTCCAAGTTTCCCATTACCTCATATTAAACAACAATTGATGATATCCCTCAATTAGGATGAGTGGCTCGGGTGCCTTCATAATTTGCTTTGCAGACCCTGAAAGCATTCTCCTGCTTTTCCATTTGGAATTGGTGGTGGTGCTACTTGGATTCTCACTTGCCATTGTTTTGCACACTGAATATGTGTAGTGTATTTGTGGGTATGGATGGGTAGGGGTGTGTGTGTGTAAGAGAGAGAGAGAGAGAGAGCACGACACGATTCCTTCACAAGCTTACAATAATGTCTTCATTGAATCAACTACCTATTGGGCTCAAAGAAGAAAGTTGATTTGTCGAATTGTTTTATGTTTTTACTCGAACAATCCTTATCAAGTTGGTGCAGTATCTCTTGATCTCTTTATTTCTAGGACATTAGTTTTGAAGGTTCTTTTACAAGGAACTGATTCCACTGTTCATTGGATGATGCCATGGGGTTGCTAGGAGAATGTTAGCTGAGATATATTGATTTGCCATGCATGCATCGTAGACGTTATTTAATGTTTTTATCTACTTCTGCTTTCTTTTTCTTCTTTTTCTTCTTTTTCATTTGTATGATCTTGTTTATATGCAATTAACAGTGTTTTGCTTGATGTGTACAACTTTATGCAGTATGCTCACAGAAAGTGTGTTCAGCACTGGTGTAATGAAAAAGGAGACATAATTTGTGAAATATGCCATCAGGTATGTTATTGCTTGCTATAATGTCTCATGTTTTGGGAATTACTTACGGAACTTCAATTCTAGGTTGTCTGCATACTTCAAGCCATTGCGTCTTGAGCTTTTTAATCACGTGTAAAGAATCCGAATATCAATTTAAAGAAACATGGTGAGATCAAGAATTTTGGCAAACTTGAGATCACTCAATGAGTCACCTCTGATAAAAACATAATCTTACGTACTTCCCTGCTAATGCTACCCACTATATAGAAGCCTATTGGAACATATATCTATGAGCTACTGTGAGTGCTTTATTTATTTTTATTTTTTTTGGTTTAAGATAGAGGGGAAGTACTCAAAAAAAAGAAAATGGCATAAGATCGTGAAGGAATTATACATTAAATGCATTTGCATTTTCTATTCTTGTTATAATTCTTCTTTGCAATTATGGCTTTCTCCATGTTGTAAAGCATAATATACTTGTGGCGGTGTATTAACAATGTTGCATTAAAAGTCACTTAAGGAAGACTTTTTCTGATTTCCAAGGTGTTCAGCACCAGTCCTCTTAAGAATCAGTTCGGCTACATTCGACTTCTGTTCGGGTGTGTTTAAAGAAGTGCAGCCCAAGCTCCAAAAATATGAAATTTATTTTTGGGTTAATAACACTTATAATATGAAATTTATTTTTGGGTTAATAGCACTTTTAGTACTTAAAGGATTCTCATTTTATCAATTTGGTCCTCAATATGTCAATTTGGTTGTTAAAGTATTCAATTTGTGTTTAAATAATCCTTACATAAACGGGCCATCAAGTTTTTTGATTACAAATAACCACGTGATCACTTTCCTCAAAAACTTAACGAACCATCTGTTTAGGGACCGTTTAAACAAAAATTGAATAAATTGATACAATTGATATATTGAAGAACAAACTGACAAAACAAATATACTTGCAGGACCAAAAGTGCTATTAACCTTTTATTTTATAATTGTAATGGCCAAAATTTGGAAAATCGAAGTATCAGATACGCTTTTAGGAACCACAATGTGCCATATCTGATGTGTGTTTGAATCAACATGGTTTATGCGTATAAATGTCCCATGTTAATAGCTGAATACACCTCCTTGAATGTGTGTGATCTGCATCAAGTAGTTCTATAATATACTAACTGTATTATAGTGTTTGTGTGTGTGGTATAGTGTATGTGTGTTTGTGTATATTTCATTTTTGGAGAATAAGAAATGTGGCTGCTCGTATGTAGCACATGGGGGTTCTTTGATACAACTTAGATGCTGGTGTGGTCTGAAATCTGTACGATCGAGGCTCATTTGTTAGAATATATTTTTGTTAAACTACAGTATTTCATCTGTTGTGCTTTTTTGGGCCTTTTGCAGCCTTACCAACCTGGTTTTACAGCACCTACTCAATCTCACCCTGAAGAGACTATGATAGATATGGGGTAAGTTTTGTATCTTTGTGCTTTTTGTTCATATAAATGTGCATTTATTAAGAAATGTTTTTGTTTTTGCTAGACTTTGTGTTTGCATGTGTGTATGTATACATATTGATATTACGATATGATGTGCAACAAATGAATCAACTTGGATTATGCTCCCAGCAAAAAGATTTAGATGGTTGATTGAAGATATAGCATGATTACATTCTGTTTTCTTGCTTTAATCCTTTGACATTCTTGCAGGGGAGGATGGCAAATCTTGGGCACACCTTTGCATTTGCATGAACCTCGCCTTTTAGCAATTGCTGAGGCCGACCATCAGTTTTTGGAAGCTGAGTATGATGATTACAATGCTACAAATGCCAGCAAACCAACATTTTGTCGTTCAGCTGCACTGATTGTAAGTCCTCGTGATCATAAACCATGAAAAAGTCAGGTGGGCTTGGTGGGTTATTTTTCATGTTCATTTGCAATTAGCTATTTCCTTCTCATGTTTAGTTTCACTTCCAAAAGGAGTAAGCATAATGGAAATCATGTACTATTGAATTACTGCTCGTGTAACAAAGAGGATAACAGATTTACAGTGTCAGAGAGAGCTGTTAAAGGTCATCTTTTGTTGAATAATATACTGCCTGGTTTCGACTCTTAGGAGCTACATACATGCCTGTAATAAATGGAATGGTGCTACCAGTGTCTGAAGTTCATGAACCTCTTGGTTAAGAGTTTTAAGATTTTTAAATCTCACTGGTTTTGATTGGCAGTTAATGGCTCTTCTATTATTACGGCATTCATTAGTTGTGACAGAAGCTGATGATGAAGACTCGGCTACCATTTTTTCTGTAAGTGGGATATGAACTTTTATATGGACTATTTCATGGTTTATAATTAGCTTGTGGTTTAATTGAGTTTATCATCTGGATTGGATTCTTCACAGCTTTTCTTGCTTCGAGTTGCTGGGTTTCTTTTGCCGTGCTGCATCATGGCCTGGGCTATCAGTATCTTGCAGCATCGTAGGCAAAGACAGGTTTGTGTCTATGATCATATTCTCAATCCCTTTTCTTTAGAGTTTTTAGTTTCCGCATTCCATTTTAACAAAGTGATTACATCTGTTAGCATTTAGGTGTGCCTGTTAAAGATCAGATCAGACCGTTGAATTGTGCTTATTGGTGTACATGACTCATTAACGTTTCTATGATGCGTTTGTATTTTGATAATATAGGAGGAAGCTGCATTGGCAGCAACACAATTTGCATTTGTGCTACAATCAGGCCAAACAAGGGGTGTACAGTTCACAATAGGATCGACAGTGCCCTCAGTGCCTCCACAGCAGGAACATGTTTAATACCTAACACCTGCCCTTACCAAATACCATTTGAAGGGCCTCTCAGCATGTATATTTGTTAAAAATGCCATGACCATAACAGTATTTGTCCCTTTTATCTGTTAAATGTTTGTGTATATATGGATCCTGCATCTCTCAGCATGAGCTGCTGGGAAAAAAAGCTGATTGGCACCAGAAATTCGTTAATTTCTTGTCAAACAAGCAATGCTTTTACCTCGAGATATTAATACAACTTGATCCAGCACGACGTTAGATGTTCAGTTTGGTTGACACGACTATTCTATTTACTAAACCGGCTGTGGTGAAGCTGCTAATATCAACCAGTTTGATGTGTTTATGACTCGTGACATAATGTTTCACAACTGAACACGATATATTTTTTTGCCGATGAAAGTATATATTCGCATATCTCAGTGTCTTTTCTATTTATTCTCAGAAATTATAACTGCTACTTGTTGAAATAATCTCAAAGTAGAACCATATCTCCTTTTAATCTGTACTATGGTGACATTCTCATTGTTGTCCAGCTTTTGTCTCCTTAGTAAACCTTTAGCATATACTTGCTGGCCCATCAAGAACTTATTCTTTCTAATCTTAATCCATTAAGTTGGCCCACCAACAATCATCCCTCTGCCTTTGAGCTTCACACCATGTTTACGTTTCAATCAAGAAACGTTTCAATCACAGTCTCATTGAATTAAATAAGGTTTCGCTTACGACACCCATCTTGATCTACTAAACCTTGAAGTCTTTCCATTTGTGCTACCTAACGGATTAGTTTCAAAAAAGATCGGGGGTCCTCTTTCTTAGTTGTGATACTTTAGACGAAGACAAAATGTTATAATCGTAAGGCATAGTTCAAGTGGTAATAAATATGAGAGTTATAATTTTTCAGGGGTCAGGTCATAAAGAATTTGTCTATTATGAATGTCTTCGTTCCGATATAGATGATCTGTCTTTAACCAAACTAGAGAAGAGTCCGACCGATAAATCAAAAAGAAAAAAATTATGGGCATTGGGACCAAGGGCTCAATCCCTATGAAACCCATATGTTTGAATTAAAGTTACAGAAACTCATTCACTTTAAGACCAAACTCCAGAATCCGTAAAGCTAACTATCCCAACTTTTAAATAGTTTTCATAAAATTATGAGTTATTGGTGATCCTCACTTTTTCTTTAGTTGAATGAAAAAAAAAAAGTACTCCCTCATGATTCTAATGGCAACAAGCTTTTACAGGGCAATGGCATCTAACAAGTACATTAACCTAAAAAAGTACCTACCAGTACTACATGCAAAGGAAGAGGTGCTAATCTATATAATTAATCGGAATTGACATTAACCAAAGGATAAGACTACAGTACCTACTATACTAAAAATATATGATCTCTGTAGGTTAGATTATTATTTTTTGGGTTGATTGTGATCGAAAATATCCGTTTCTACCTTCAACGGTTTATCAAACTCAGACAATTTTAGTAGTCAGTTAGGCTATATAATCTTTGCTTGCGGCATCTGGAGCCTTTGACTGGACTAGGAAGGAGATTAGTAGAGGTACGTGTAAGTTAATCAGATACCCCTAACAGTTGAACTAAAAAAACAGAAATTCAAACTAATGTCACAGTGGATGAAAGCATCAATGACATTATTTATAACTGGTGTTAAAATTAAACTAGAAAGCAACAACTCAATCAATCTTTTCACTTTAAATGGAAGACTAAAAGAAGAGTAGCATCAACATTATATAACAAATCTAAGATGAGGTGTATGTATTACTTGGACCATGACCAGTCTCCCTTCAACTTTAGACGCCATCGAATCCCATCATCATGCAAGTTTGATAAAGCATAACTTACCTTTGCTTTAGAATGTTCCAACTTGCATGTGATTTAATGTATAACAATCATACTAGTTATAGAACAAATAGATGCTCAATCTGGATGAACAAAAAACATGATGATGCAGAGAGAGAGCAAAAGTAAAGCATAAAGAAAAACATTTAGCACAAGAAACCATGACTGTTATTTTTGTTGCATAGAGAAGAGAGCTTGGAATTCTAAAGTGAGATCTTCAATGGCATAAAGCAAGTGTTTGGGTTTTTTGGGGGGGTTTGTTCTATTCCCTTATTCTTTCCATACACTATTTTTTGGATCTTCAAGTGACTGCTTACACCTTAGCAAACTGGTGTTTTGGCTAGCTCTCTGCCTCTCTGGCCAGTCCCGTTTCTTTCTTTAATAATGAGACAAGTTTACGTTATTGTGCTACCCTCGTGGATTACTTAGTTCTCTTTTCTTAATAACTACGGAATACTAATTTACAAAAGCAACCCCCCCTCCCCTACCAAATAAAAATCCCCATAATATGAAATGGTCGGGTGATATGACAAGATGGGTAGGATTCCAAAAGGCTTGGGTTGGTCTTTGTTTGGTAGACAAAAGCAGGGCAAATGATAGAGATGCAAGGAAGCAAATGAAAAAAGATGCTTATCTTCTCAAGGGTGTTGTTTCATCTTTTCTTTATTCATCCTAGTCAGATCCTTTGCAACAGCCTTAATTTGCTTAGATTGCAGGCTTATCATTGGGAGTGAATCTAAAACTTGAAAAAAATATAAGGTGTAATGGTGATACCACATCATCATTGACACGTAATGTCATACATCTAATAATAAATCTACAAATGGGCAAGTGGATCCCACATATTCAAGTAACTACCATGCCATGTCATTCCAAGTGGGGTTCACATTATTCATTTATAAGTTTATTATTGAATATAGTGACACCACGTGTCAATAATAATGGGATGTGACCGTTACACACAATATGTACTCCTAAAACCCCTCTAGGGAATTTGGCCCTCACTGCTTTATGCTTTAAGGGGCCCCTCCAAATCATATAAGGGAGAAATCAAAGGCTTATATCTCTAGAGGAATGGATCATAAGAATAGAAAGATTACAATCTCAGTTCAGTTGAGTCTCTTATTCCTCTAAAACTATACTTCTCCTTCTCTTGTTTGCATAGAAACAATGGTTTGCAGTACTCATAGGGTGTTGTTTATCCTTCTTATTTGCATTGGAATATTAGCAATTCAACTACATAAAGTTTCTGGCCAGTCAAGTATTGACTTTGTCCTAAGATGGAGCAAAGAAGATTATGGGCTAGTATCGACGAACCAGCGCATGCTTCAGGCAGTTGTTTCTCAAGACCTGATCAATACAAAGACGAAACAGGCACCTGTCAACAAGACATTTGATCCGAACAAATCAAGCAAACGAAGAGTCCGAAGGGGATGGGATCCCATTCACAACAGGTCTTGATATGTTCAAGGTGTTTCTTACAGTACAGAGAGATCAGGCAAAGAAAGTTTGACACATGAATAAACACCTAGAGCAGAAAAGATTGGAAAATGTGTGGACTACACCAACTTCCCAAAGGGTATCTATCTGGCTTGGTAGACTGTTTTTCCTATTCTTGTTTTAAAAGTTTTTACTGCAGAGAGAAGTGTATATTCAAAGTTGTAGAAAATGGTCTCTTAAAACATTCAGCGAGCCAGCATCGTGGCTACGTGTTGTTTTAAGATGAGATGCACAACAATGAAGATGGTTCTAGCTCTCAAAAAACCAAAAATATAGGTCATGTTTGGTTTGCATCTCAGAAACTATTTTTTCGTACAAAATCTAATCTGTTTGCATTTGTTACCCAAATCAAATGTAGTGAAATTCTTTTGTTTCTTGCCCCTTCTATGAGAAGTCTCTTCAAACATAAAGAGCCAGCTACTAAACTTTGATTGTTTTATACTTCAAGTTGAATAGATGAATACTTCAAGATAATTTTTAAGATAAATAGCAAGCAGATACAAAAAAAATGGGGAAAGTACTGCATATTCTCAACAAGGAAGCCTATATCAAGTGTTCTCTGATATGGAATAGAACCCAAATTCTGAACTTCAGGTAACCAGAGAAGAAAGCACTCAGAACCTTAAGTGAATCTATCAATACAACTATATCAGCATACAATTTGCCATTGCAGTTTGAAAATTTTTCAATTTATGTTAGTTTCGATTATTATTGTGACGACCCATATTGGCGTATGTTAAATTCTACATCGGAAGTTTACGTGGGAGTTCTTGGGTATATATGAAGGAACAACGACTTTAAATGACAACTTCTTTCGCTAGTTCGTTTGGAAAGTTTTTGTGGTCATTACAATTATGTTTGATCCAATTATACTACGAGTAACTTTTTTCCATTTCCATTTCTATTTCCATTTGCCAATCAAACATGCAAGTTCTATTAAATGTTAAAACAAATAGGAGAAGATAAGCAAGTCTATTTGGAAAGGGAAATGCTATTTGGAAATAGGTTCAGCAACGTTACTCTGATATTAGCGGAGCCCGGAGCCCCTTGCAATGCACAGTATTTTTTATTTTTTCCATCACAATCTTACCCTTATTGCTACGGCCACTCCCCCCTCCCCCCCAAATTGTCACCCCTCATCCCACCCCATCTCCAATCCTAATATTATTGAACAATTACCCATTATTTGTGCTAAATTAAGGAAAATATAAAATTTAAATTTAAATTTAAATTAATTTTGTGAGAGCAGTTACACTTGGAATAATAAGTGAGCAATCTCATTGGGATATAATTTGGAAATTTTATGATTGTGGTTATTAGATTGTCAGTGAATCTCAATATTAAATTATCAGTGAATTCTAACACTATCAATCCAATAGTCACGATACATTATATTCCCAAATTATATGTCAATAACATTAGTTATAATAAGTAGTTATATGTGACTTGTGTAACAACTCTCATAAAACTACTTTAAATTTCAATTTTTCATCTTCCTTAGTTTAGCACAATAATGGATAATTGCCCTAGGGTCGGGGATGGGGTGGGATAAGGGGTTGTAGAATTGTAATTGGAGGAATTGAAAATACCATGCATTGCATGGGGCTCCACTAATATAATATTATACACATATTGATGTTTTTTTGAA